TGGACTTCATCATGTATATCTAATCATTTTAATTTACATTTCTAATCTTTTCAAAATTTTTAAACTATTATTTGTAATTTAAAAGTTTACATTCCATTTTTTATGTTTTATTTGAATTTTGAAATTTAATAAAGATTTTTATTTTATTAAATTTTGAAATTCAACTAAAACAAAAAATATTTATTAGATTTTAAAATTTGATAAAAAAATTCTTCATTAATTTTTAAATCATAAAAAAATTAATTTTTAGAATTATTTTCAAAAATTAAAAATACAAGATAAAATGATTGGAGATCAAGCATTATTATTTATTAGGCCCATTCATTAGATTGAAATTGGAGACATTTAGGCCCATTGCAGAAATGAAAGCATTGATGACATCACGGTGACCATAAGGAAAGTATTTATGAGCATCACTGTAATGGAAGCTTTTCCACTGTTGTTTTTCTTTCCCTAGAAGAAAGAATATTGAAAGAGCATGATTGAGGAGGCAGCAATGACACTTGTTCAATATGTACTGCTTTTGCTGCTAAATTTCATGTGAAGTAAGAACTTATTTCGAGGTTAGGTAATTTCATGGGAACGCTGAAGAGAAAGTCAGAGGTTTTTTTTGTCATTTTCTTTCCACCCTAATTAAATATTCCAACAAAGACAACTAAAATGGACAAAATTTAATAAATTGATGTATAGTAAATAGTCAAATCAAATGGATAACTGTAATTGTCAGGAACAGGGCTCTTAATTTCTTTTAACAGTGTTATTTGTAGAAAATTTTCCTCAAAAGTCTGCTTAAGGTGCTGTTTTTTTAATGAATTTGAAGAAGTGGATTTGAAGGAATCTGAGAGGATTTAAAGATAAATACTTTTATCGTTTATTTGAGTGAATTTGGAGGTAAATGAGAGTGAATTTGAAAATAAATTTTTTTAATTTGTCATGTCAATACAATTCTATACTAATTCTCACAAATTTTATTTCCAAATTCACTCTTATTTACCTCCAAATTTACTCAAATAAATGACAAAAAAAATTATCTTCAAATCCTCTCAAATTCCCTCAAATCCACTCAAAAGAACAGGACCTAAAACTTTTGAGGGGTTCACTAATTTTTTACGAAATTATAATGAGTACAAATCACTCCGTACAAGAATTATTAATCACTTACAGTTTTTAGGTATTATCAACCATTCTTAATTTTAAGTATTATCAACTATTCTTACTTTTAATTCTAATCAATCTGATTAGATCGAGTTTAACTACTCTTGGTATTCTTCATAGACAAAATATTTAGAATGTTTAACTCAACTAAGTTAAACAATACAAGTGTTTTAATTCACTTTTGAATCTACAAACACAATACAAGTGTTTTAATTCACTTTTGAATCTACAAACACAACAAATGTTTTAAATACAAGTACAGATCCAAATAACTCTCAGAGAGAAACTAGATTCACTACAATGAAATTTGAGAACTTATAAAGTTCTTTCACTCAAAATGAAAGGTTTTAAATGATGTAAGCTTTGAGCAATAGAGTAAGTATTCAATGATAGTTATCTTGTTCTTATTGTATATTCTTGTTGCTTCTCTTATGTGAGTCCTTTTTATATAGTCTACATTAAGAGATACAATTGTACATAAAGTTGACTTCGTAGCCTTTTTAGGTAGTTAATCAAACTCAGGTTTACGTTGTAGAGTGATAATGTTTTATCAACGCTTTCTTTCATAAGTATGTTGTACAGTCTTTCAAAGCTAAAATCTTTGAGGAAACATTCCAAGAATGTGCTTTAGTTTTAAATCGGTTTGGCTTATGCTTATGATAGTAACTTAAAAAAAAATTCTCATGTAACACCTCTATATAGGGATGACAACAGGTCAGATCGGACATAAATAATGTTTACTTGTTACCCGATTCGTAATAAAAATTTTGGTTCATTACCTGTTATGTTATCCGTCAGATACCTGTTTAAAAAGCATCCACGAATTTTCTAAATCCCGTTGGTACCTATGGATATCCAAAGGTATTTCAAAAATAAAAGTTTATATTTCTTTAAATGAAATCTAAATAAAATTACAAAGCATGAGTACTTGAAGTATCCATTTATTATCCGTGACAAATTTTATCTCTAGATACTCACAAGCATGAGTATTTTTGTCATTCCTACATTCATTTTCAACAAAATTAAAATATAAATGAAAAAAATAGAAAAAATAGTATCTCGTACGAAGGAGATGTGTGTGAATGAAAGAGATGTATGTAGATAAAAGATATGAGGGTAAGAAGATTTATAAATATGAATGAAGAAGATGAGAGTGATGTGATCTATATAAAAAGTGAGAGAAAAAAATTATGGGTGAAGATATTTATTCTACTTGAATCTATAACTTTAGATTAAAAATAATTTACACTTCATTATTCATTATTATGAAGCATACAAATTCAAAAATATATAACTTAGACTGATCCGTCATAACTTAAATATATATATATATATATATATAAATACTAAATATAAATAAGATTAATGATAACTTGACTTATGCTAACCTTATTTATTTTTCATATTTATTTTAGTTAGTGTTGGATAAGTTCACACTAATTTGACATTAAAACATATATTATTTATTAAAAAAAATTTCTTAACTTTTTGGAAAATAAATTAACCTTTTACATTGCATTAGAGTCAATCCTAAAATCTACATATTAAAAAAATAATAATAAAATATAAATTTATGTCACAGATTTGAAAATAATGTTAAGGAAAAATGGAGGATAGAAAGTAATTAGTATAAGAAAATGGATAAGGATGATAAATCGTGGGATTATATGTGGCAAAAAGGGTTGAGACGACTTCTTCAACCTAATAGCCCGACACAATCACTCCCGCCCAACTTGACAAACCTGACATCATTAAAAAACATTAATGTAAGAAACTTACCCTTGCTCGAAACAACATTCAGGTCACCTTAGCAAGCCAGCAACCCGACATCATTAAAAAAAACCTAAATTATTTAATGAATGAATATGTTTTGATATATTTTAAGAAATTCAAATGCAGTCTGATAGCCTGCTTGGCAAGCCGATGATCAACCTGGCATGAGCACAGCAACCCACTCGACATAGGCCAGTTTCAACCTGATAACTCGACAAGTCGGATTATAAAATTCAACCTATTCTTAAATGGTAAGCCAGTCCAACCTGATCCATTTTTTTAGGTCAAAGTTAGGTCAGACTTAAACGGGTTGAGTTGACCTGTTTTGCCATCCTCCTATATGGGATGAGTGAAAATTTGACCATCACATTGTATTTGTAAAGTAAATATTTATCCTAATCTTCACCAAATTGAAAATTTTGTCTCATTTCTATTTCTATTATTGCAGTTATAGAATAGACAACATGCATTTATGTTTATGTTTATGTATGTCCTTTAATATTTCAAATATTAATTAAATAGTTTTTGTAATTAAATAGTTTTTACAAAAAGTAAGAAAAATATTAAATATTATAAAAAATAGAACAAATAATCACATGTGTCATAGATGCAAATTTTAAAATTAAGGACAAAAGAAAACTTAATACAAGTTTTTTATATTATCTATTAAACTAAAAGTGTTTGAGTAATTTAAAACGAACACAAATGTAAAAACTTGAGTATTAAAATAGAGATACAATAGAATGAATATGTATATATCCGCTATATCCAATTTAAAAAGCTAGTATTAACCATATTTAATTAATATGATAACTTTTTTATTAAAATCGAACTAATTGATAAAATATCGCATGTTCATTTATTATCTTAAGAATAAATAGATATAAAGATATATTTCTTATTCGATACAAATATAAAAAATATATATTTTTCATTAGGTCAATATTTTTTAGTTTTATCTAGATTTACAGAAAAAAGAATAAAAAATATAAAAAAGTAATATTTTTTATAATTACTCTTTTCCTATTTATTTCAATAATAAATATATAAATACTTTTGTAATCATAAAATTACTTAATTTTAATTTACTTATTTATTATTTTTAAAATAAAATATTTCTTTCATTTGTATGCCGTATTTTATCGTCAAACAAATAAATATACTTTTTATTATTTACGTGTCTCTTCAATAAGACTTCTTTTCATATTCTTTTCTTATTATCCAAGTTAGGATCAGAAAAAGAGNGTCATAGATGCAAATTTTAAAATTAAGGACAAAAGAAAACTTAATACAAGTTTTTTATATTATCTATTAAACTAAAAGTGTTTGAGTAATTTAAAACGAACACAAATGTAAAAACTTGAGTATTAAAATAGAGATACAATAGAATGAATATGTATATATCCGCTATATCCAATTTAAAAAGCTAGTATTAACCATATTTAATTAATATGATAACTTTTTTATTAAAATCTAACTAATTGATAAAATATCGCATGTTCATTTATTATCTTAAGAATAAATAGATATAAAAATATATTTTTTATTCGATACAAATATAAAAAATATATATTTTTCATTAGGTCAATATTTTTTAGTTTTATCTAGATTTACAGAAAAAAGAATAAAAAATATAAAAAAGTAATATTTTTTATAATTACTCTTTTCCTATTTATTTCAATAATAAATATATAAATACTTTTGTAATCATAAAATTACTTAATTTTAATTTACTTATTTATTATTTTTAAAATAAAATATTTCTTTCATTTGTATGCCGTATTTTATCGTCAAACAAATAAATATACTTTTTATTATTTACGTGTCTCTTCAATAAGACTTCTTTTCATATTCTTTTCTTATTATCCAAGTTAGGATCAGAAAAAGAGCATTGATATGAACAAAGAAACAACAATTTGAAAACTTATTATATTAATATTTTAATACTTTTAAAATTAAAATATTAATAAATTCTTATATTATTAAAATAAAATTCTCAAGAAGTGAGTGTTAAAATACAATTTTCCTGTGGAAGCAGGGTCACAATTAATCATTTAGATATACAGACACTTAAAAAAATATCTCATTAAAAAAGGCAAAAGTTACAGAATCATTTATACATATGCAAAAACCAGTGCTTGTTAGATTCTACAAGCATTTAGTTAAGAAAAGAAAGAACATGAAGTGCTTAATCTAAGATTCTAAATGTTCCAGTCATTGGAACCTCACAACTATGCAAGAAATATCATCTTTACTTTTCTTGGAAACTGCTTCTTCTATCAAGTGCTTTGCTGCAGCTTGAGCATCCTTTATTTGCCTAATGGAATCCACTGCTTCTTGGTTTGACATTACCTGAAAACATCATTGGAAATTATCAAATCATTGAATGAATTTAAAACTATTTTTTTTCTGTCAAAGTTGCTTTTACTTCTAGAAACCAAAATAGAAACATTGCTTAAAAGGAATTAGGAAGTGAAAGAGAAAGAAAATGATGAGAAAGTTAACCTTCCATATTCCATCACTGGCCAGAATAAGAAACTCTGTATGATGAAGTACTTCCTCTATAAACACATCAGGTTCTGAACTAAGATGCATCTTCAAGCTCCTATCACCAAAAGCTCTTGCTACTGCTAACTGTCCATCTACTCGAGGGACATCTCCTGCAAGAAACATAAATTCAAATGTTCTATATTACCAATTTTGTTCATAGTTTCTATGCATTTCTTCTTCAAACCAAAATGCATGTATATAGATTATAGCATACTTGCAAAGCATATCATGTCATGTCTCTCATTCTAAGGCTTGTAGGAACTGAGAATCAAATGACTTTTTACGTTAAAGGAGAATATGGAAGAACTTATTAAAACTTATGAAAAGCACTTCTGACTCGTAGAACATGGTTGTAACTTATAGGTTCATTTTAGCATATGCACATGTTGCTCTTTCTGTGGTACAGAACACATAGAAAAGCTGGTTTTTTACCTGGAATGTTTGATACAAAGCCTCCACGTCTCTCAATAGATTTCTTTTCCTTGCTTGGTTCATGATCTACAGACAGTTGCCTAGCCTTTCCATGCTCACAAATAACAGCTCTTGAGTCACCAACATTTCCTACTACAAGCTTCTGACCATCTATCAGTATTGCAGTTACAGCTGTTGACCCTCCTCGCCCCAATTCAAGTGCTTGTTCCAATATTTTCTCATCAGTTTCAATATAAGCCCTCTTCACTGCGTGTTCTGTCTCATTCCAAAAGTCATGCTGCTTGCAGAAAACATCAGTATGAATTACAGAAGAATCTCTTGAAGCAGGTTTAGAAGAAGGGTATTCATTATTAGATGCTCTCAAACTCGGAAAAACATTGAGGGGCCACCAAGTACAATACTTAGATATGTTAGATGTTGTTTGTGTTAGTGTTGTTATCCTATCAAATTAAGTTTTACTCTAGTAATCATGTAATAAAGATGAAACTTCAATTCTGATTAAAGATCATACAGCCAGAAACTTAAGAACTGTATACGAGATTTGTCATACTCATGAGAATGTGATCAAAATGATGCCGCAGGAGGAAAGTTGCCTTACCTGTTTCAAGATGTTATGGAAAAGATGGTTCTGCAAATAGCTCGCAACATCGTGGCCTAAGTGGCCATCAAATATTGCAAACAAGCCTAATTCTCTGTCCTTTTCTTGCTTGAATTCCGAAACTAAATAATCTTCCATGGGATGTCCAGATTTTCCCTTCATCAAGTGAAAGCCATGTGTAATATGTTTTGATATTTTTCCTTTTCCTTTCCCTGTCTCTGGTGTTGATGTTCCAAACCCTGCTTTCACCTAAACATATATGATCAGAGTAATAGATCTTTCAGTCTCAATATTTTGAAAGCTCAACCTTGAAACAGATACCAAGTTTAGAAACTTTAAAGTTGAATAATTTAAAAGGAAAAATAGTGACATCCCATATTGCCATGCATATTAGCAAGAACACTGATCCAAACCAAACACAGAGTTAATGGTATGTCACGCAATTGAAAAGCCAACACATCAATACATCTTAACACAAACACAGGAAAAGGACCATTCAAGAAGCTGATATGAGCACTGATGAATCTCCACATGCTGGATTCAATGCATTGAACATTTTGTGATTTATGTCATCACACAATTCTGCTATAGACACTCCTCAAGAAAGAAAAGACATGGAAAGAAAACGGTAGAACCAAATTAAATCGCAGCATATCTATCACTTTTTGAAAGAACACCCAAGTTGCATTCATTGCAAACAAATCAAGAACCTCAAGATAAGCATATCTATCACACCGATGAATAAAGCAGACTAGAATAAGCAGTTCATAACACGTGAATGAATGAACTTGGCTGCATAGTTTGCAGAAAAGAATCACGATGGTTTTCTCTTGTTCTGCTGACCTTCATCATATTGAGGATATCTTTTCCTGTCATGATGGCACAGTGGTAGGAGTTGTTTTTGTTGGTGGTGTTGAATGTTGAGAAACGTTGATGAATGTTTGTAGAGATTAGAGGGAGAGAAAATGAAGAAGAGAGTATAAATAAGGAAAGTTTGACTTTGTGCACGTGACTTGCCCGCAACTATTATTTTGAGGCCGCGTTCTTTGAACACAACGCGTTATTGCCGACGTAGCTTTGTTTTTTGAAGTTGCTTGTATGTCTTTGGAGTTTCTCTTTCACATGATTTACCTTAGTATCTTCTTAATATCAACTTTCCCACTTGCTCTTTGTTCCCATTTGTATCAATGCAAAAACAAAGCTCCCACATGGAATAAGGAAAACTATGCGTCACATTGTGTTTTACTAGGTCATGGAGTAACTTACGCTTATCTTCAACTTTCATTCTTATCATTCGTGTCAAACTCTGAATTTATTAATTATGCAAACTTGTTTCACCTCAATAATACAACTATAATAAATATCTACATAAAATCTTTTGTTTTATCATATTCTTTAATAAATCATTAAAAAAACTTATGAAAGAATAAAATTGGTTGATAATCACAAAAATCTTTTGGTAAAACAAAATTACTAATAGTAAAATTTACTAGTAAAATTCCTTTAACAACATATAAACTATTTAAATTTATTGATAATTATTCGTAGTAAATATTCATCCGTGATTAATATATATTTTTTATCGGTAAAATATTATCAATAAATATTGTGATTTAATTTTTTATTTTCTCATTTTCATTCTCCTTTGTTGGTATGGTTGTTGTGTTCATTATTTTTAATGTTACGTGTATCACTGTTATGTCTCCACCTATGACTCTTTTTCTTTTCTTCTTTCATTTCTTTTCTTTTCAACAATATCCATTTAATTTATAATAAATATTTTATCACATTTTAATGAAAAATTGATACCTGACAAATTTTTTAATAAAATTATCAACAAATTCTTAAAAATACAATTATTGATAAATTTTTTTAAAAATTCATTATTCGATAAATTTTATTGTATCATAGTAAAAAAAAAGGTTTGATCCTTTTGAATATCCTTATTTGTGGAGGTCTGTCTCAAATAGCTCCTCGTATTCTAGATGGTCTCAATTAGGTCTCTTATTGTATAAAATCGAATCAATTTAGACCTCGCCGTTAATTAGGCTGGACGACGTTAAAAATTTTGATACGTGGCTTGGTGACATGAGCAAGTTGTTCTGACGTGGCATACATTGGTCGCTAAGTTGGCTTTCTTTTAAATAAGTTGGTGGTCGGCCAGGTGGTCGGCCAATCGGCCTGGTGGTCGGCCAATCGGCCTGGTGGTCGGCCAATCGGCCTGGTGGTCGGCCAATCGGCCTAATGGTCGGTCACTCGGCCTGGTGGTCGGCCGACCACCAAGCTGAGTGGCCGACTACCATACCGACCACCAGGCTGAGTGGCCGACCACCAGACCGATTGGCCGACCACCAAGCCGAGGGGTCAACCACCAGGCCGAG